ATGTGCATATCATCTTATTAAAATTATATGCGGAATGAGTAATACTGAATACATACGAAATATACATAGGTAATAGAAAAACAAACTTTCCCATACCTAAATGGTACAAAGTAGTAGTAGTAGGTGTTTTCCGCATTAAAGTGCTAATGTAAGTAAGGGGCTTGGACAAAATAATGCATGGTCTACACATTCAAAATATCACCATTTTCTACTCGTAACGATTTTTTTATTCTTATAGATAGGTCACATGATATTTTGAATTATTATTTTTGAAACGCAAGATCCGATCATCGAAATTATTTCATGTATGTCATTTAATATTAACTAGCGCGTAACAATTTGCGAAGCAAATTGTAGATTTTGTGTATCGAGAATAAAGATTTTCTGAATGTATAAGTAATTTTTATTTTACGTGTTTTTACAGGATGTTTTTTCCAGGTGAATAAAGCAGCAAATAGTAAATTTTGAGTTAGTGCGGGATGAGTCACTCTTCCTTTCGTCCACCCACATTAGTGCCCTGCACAGTCATTTTTCATTTCCATTTATATGAAACTCCCTCTCTAAATGCGCACCCGTGACTTTCACGTGATCATGTGATGGTAACAATTCGATCATTTGTGTCATTGGGGTATCATAGAAGCTAGAAAAAGTTATATAATTCCTTCCATAAGAAAAATCATTGATACAAAAATCACTATTGCCTCAGAGCTATTTATTTAACTTGTCCAACTTCCTTGGCAGCAAGTTATTGTAGAAAAGCACAAGTGCTACACCCATAATAAGTTATGTAATACAATCCTTGGTAGTTTATCACTGGCTGAACAAGATGTTTAAATCTGCCTGGTGGCAATACCTTCTTCTACTTTATAAAGTGTTGGGAAAAACAACAGGAGAGATGCTCAAGCAAGAGAACAAACAGGGAGGATAAATCATGGCCTCTGCTTATTTGACTTTGCACCTCTTGAAACAATAAATCATCATGCCTGTGTCACTTATATTTACATTTTCCTTATGGATAATAAAAAAACTTTTAACGTTTATATTTGTTATTGATTTCTATGTCATGTAAGACTATAGCTAAGGCTCAGAACAAATCAACAAAATTCAAACTGAATCAAATCAAATCTGATCAAATCAATAAGGCTCTGAATCAATTAAGTTAGAATCGAATAAAATCGAATCAAACCACCTTTCAAATTGTGTTTTGATTCGATTCGAACTGATCAATCTATAGCAATCACTATCATTCATTAGTTATTTAGATTTAATGAATTGCAATTGTAAATTGTATTGCTTTTTTATTCGTCATTATGTTATCATTATTTGTTATCAATGATAATGATGGTGGTTGAAACTAAATTATTTAGACAATGTCTAAAATATAAATTAATTTAGACATTTAAACAATTATGGTCTAAATTGTCTAAAATGCTGAAATTGAATTTTTTTATTGGATAATTTTACTGAACTTTGTGGATTTTGTGTATATACACGTGACTTTTAGTTGTATTTAAAGCAAATCATTACTATTTATAT